GAAAAGTGTGGGCTGCCTATACTTCGTATCATTGTAACTTGGAAAAGGCCAACCGCCACAGCCCCCTCGAGCCAATCAGAGAGACTGAGCGAAGGTGTGTAACAAATCTGTGCAGACGAGCACTCTGAATGACATGTTGTCATGTGCCTCTCTCCAACGTGCAAATTGGCTCACCGAGACTGTAGCCTTTGCCGTTTGCCAAATTGTGATGAAACGAATTACAGTAGCTACTATTCTAATTACCCCAGGCTTTCATACTTTCGTCATTTGTTCGACAAGAATGTTATGTCCGCCATTCCTGTGAACTCGGCTCAGCGCCTATTGGACTGGAATGCTGTATTAGCATTCGACGTGAGCTGGGGCCCATTCGTGTGCTTTACGCCGAAAAAAAATGGTGACAGTTGTGTTGTTTGATGGGGTTCTGCAAAGGGTCTAGCGTGTCATACGTATAGTAAGTGTCCTGCTATACAACAATGCATCCATACTATTAAACTAGATGCTCAGACGCGTGTTTGTTTTTGCACTCAACAAGTTGCAGCCATAAGTATTCCTTACTAGTGTAATATTTATTTTCGGTAGCTGGACCTGGTTTGTGCTCATTAATGTCCGTGTGCTATGATGTTATCACGTCTGTAGCTTTAAGTATCCTCCCTGCAATGCCTACAGAGGCCCTTGGAGGGAATAAATTAATAAACAACATTTTCACATCACTGGAGTTGGTTTACGGACGCGCCACATGCTCAGGAGAAGTGGAACGAGTGCAGCCCAATGCAACCAGTCTGCCAGTCTGGTATGTCCCATTAATTAATATTGAGGGGTCTGAGATGCGGCTGTCTTCAAAAGGTCCAGAACGTGCCGTGAACATAATTCTTTGTGTAGAGACTCTGAAGGCATGAAGGCAAGCGGAAATATGTTTATCTGGTTAGTGTATCAAATATATTTATTTCCACTTAATTACATAATTATTGATTCTTCAAAAATGGTTCCATAACGAGTTCTTTCTGCGACAGTCTCGTGTGAGTCGTCCAGTCGTAGTACCTAGCTGTGCTCCTTGTTGTCGGATGACGCTCCTGGCACGTCGGTGTTCAGTTTGCTCGAGTGGCAGCTTTGACCGACAGATGCCGTCTTGTAATCATACGTCGTGTGCGGCCACTGACATTTGATGCACTGAAGCTGCAGAGCTGGCTTGTAATCCGCAAATTTTTCTGGTAGTTCTCTGCGTCAATGCAGCAAGCTCGGGCATGTAGTGCTTACGTGGCTGTGCTTTTTGCTATAGTGTTGACTTGATGGTTGGCAACAGGCAACAGTGTTTGTTTGCTATCCGAGCCATCTCACTTCCATTTCGTAATGGCGATTTTTTCTGCATACCGCGACCACTGCAACTTGTGTAAGTCTCGTGTGGCAAAGTGAAGTCGGGTGATGCTTGGTGTCCACTTTTGAGAACGACCAACCATTCTATTTCTTCATGTCACTCAGCGGCGTTCTCCGTCAAAGTTGGAAATTGTGTGCTTCATTGCATGGACACAGATACATAGTGTCGGCAAATTATTACGTATTGTCCTTGGACAACAACCAATACCAAATCAACTGCCCTTGCCTTGCTGCTCACCTGCTTTGTCATGCTTACCTCCTGTCGAGGTGATGGGGATCAGGAGCCTCGGGGTAATGTCAGCACCAGGGGCAAAGTTCGCCGAAGATAATCCTTAATGTCCCGCGGACGCTCCTCGAGACGTGGTCGAAGGTCCTTCGGCACAATCTCTTGCAGGCCAATTCATTGGTACCGGCACCTGCAGTAGACATGGTTGGCCTCCTGCAGTGGTAGCAGAGTGGTGTTCGGTCGACCATTTGCAGTACCTCCGTTTTCCTCGGTGTACTTTGTTCAGCAAGAATCTACACTGGTTCTTTCCGATGTTGGGAATGTTTAGGCGATGGGGTGTCTCGTTGGATTGGCATTGAATATTAACTGGAAGCCGGTGGTGGACGTCGTGACTTTGTGCCATAAGTCGTCCTCGGCTCGTCAGATGCCTCTGTGCTTGAAGAAGTTTTCAGTTGAAATGCCTGTCGAACTTGTTCCAAAACAATGTCAGCAATCAAAATAAAAGCTAGGCAACTGATGGAAGAAAGTAGCTTCCTGATGTCCTCACGGACACCAATGTGGATGATGTTACGGATGCCTGGGAGTTTGGCGTCGAAGTTGCAGCTGGATGACGCGAGTGTCGAGACGCTGGGGAGTTGTTGATAGTGACAGGCTCGGCCTGCAGTGTACATTCTATTTTGGAAGTCTCGGTTATACGAACCCTTCGACTGTTGTCGTGGGGTTGCAGACAAGGCTGCTGAAGGTGCTGTCCCTAACATGAGGGGCTGGGGATTCTTACCTTCTCGTCTTCTGTAACACCAGGGTTGGCGTGGGTGCTCGATCAGGCGCAAAACATCCTCCACGAAGGCAGCGACGTTCTTGTTGGGGCCGTGTCCTGGACAGAATCATAAATTCGGCTCTCTCTCGTCAATGTTGGATGATGAACGTGCACTTCAGCTTGATCTTGCAAACTTCCCATGACGTTGAGGAGGATTCGTGCTTCTCAAACAAGTGCCTGACAGTTCCTTCCACGAGAGGTATAGGTTCTGCAGGAGCTGGTTGTCTGTCCACCCACTGTGGCGGGCAACATGGTCATATTGCTCAATCCAGCCCTCGACATCTTCATATACCATGAGTGAAAGGGCGTCGGAGTGTGAGGTGCGACGGGCATACAAACAATGGTGGGAGCGGACGCGGTTCGGTGCTACAGGTTTGTCATTGTTGGCTTAGTCAGCTTCGGATTTTTCTGGCAAAGGACCGAATTCCGGTGGTTAATGCTGGTAGCAGCGACCGACTCGGATTTCAGGTTCTTCGTGGTGTAATTTCGAGGTTCGTCCTTGTGGTACTTGCTCGTCTTGCGGTCTTTCTGCTGGGCTCGGGATAGTTATTGGTTCACGGCTCGCCAAGGGTTTAAGACGCGGGATCCGCCACCCGTGTCCCGTTATCGGGCAACTCGGCTGAGGAGCCGCCTAGGTGCACAGAGAGTGAAGGGCTATGGGTAAAGTACCCAGCACCTCCACCAGAACATACGATGACAGCTGAGCATGGCCTGCATTGCTTTAGCGGCATTCTGTCCGAATAAATTCTCTCCCTTGGGGTTGGGCGACTCCCGTGGGCGAACTGAACTGAAATGCATGTGGGACCATTGTTCTGGTAATGGGCCGCTGCAGAATGTTGTCGCAAAGCGGCGTGAACGGGTGGACTGGGTAGGTAACACTCGCAAAGAAATGTCCATACGGCTTGCAACTCGCGTTACGAGTGTTGATGAAACCTTTGTGTCGACGAAGCGTGCCACAGACCAGCGGAATCAATACCAACTGCAAGACTTGTGCTCCGTGAAAGTGCACGTTCACGCCGGAACAATTTGGGAAGCAGCACAGCGTCACCTAAAGCATGGCACAGGAACTACCAGCCTGAAGGCAGCTCTTCGGTACGCCGCACACCTGTGCTCCGTGAAAGTGCACGTCTACGCCAGAACAATTTGGGAAGCAGCACAACATCATTTAGCACGGCACGGCAACTACCAGCTTCAAGGCAGCTCTCCGGTGCGCCGTACAACCAAACTGAGCCTTCGGTCATTTGAACGAAGCGGCACCACGATTGCCCACTGCCAAGCACGACTCACACAATTTCCGTCGCTAAACTGTGTGTCCAATTATATTGCACGCGATTCACCGCAGACCTCGAAGCTTCTGATGGTCAACCAGAGCACAGAAACGTCGCCTTAAATTTTTTCTTAGCGGTATCCGAATCAATCCGAGGTCCGAGCAATGTAGGGTAGATTCTTCCTTGGCAATATCCCCGTCGGTCACCAGCGAAATACACACCGTTCCTTCGTATTTTCACGTTATAGCTACGTCAGACACCACGCTGAACTCTAAAGTCGCTTTCGACCGGCCTCATATGACGGCTTCCCCGTCTGAAATCAACTCGCCGAGACGACCGACAACCAACAAAAAATCCGACAAGCTCCGGCCCAGCTGGGGCCAGCCGCTGCATGAGCGCTGCCACCTTTCCTGTGACGTCACGTATTTGGTTTGGTCATGTGACGAGTAGTCAAATTTGCGTACAATGGCAGCCGCCTTATGGGGGTCACTTTCGAGTGCACACCGGAACCCCGGTTTATCGTTCTAAGCCCCTTTACCTCGTAGTGCAACCTCTATCATCCATCCATGGCAGGCAGCGTTGTGGAAGTTGTGGTGGCAGGCTGCCATCAAAATAGCATGGGTGATATTTCGTGCTTGATTCCACTTGTTTGACGAAACATATTTTTGAAACCCGGCGTGAACGGTAGCCCGATCTTTTAGGACCCGGTGAAAGGTTCGCGAAATCGCAGCACCGGGGAAAAGCAGCTCAGCACGCGTCGAAAGTCGCATCGAAAGAGTCACCGAAAGGAGACGCCGGTACGAAGTCTGGTTTCGATGCGAGCTGCGCTGCTTTTCCCCGGTGCTGCGCTTTCGTAGAACTTTCGCCGAGTCCTCAAAAATGAGGCTACCATTCACGCCGGATTTCAAGAATTTGCTTCGTCGAACAACTTCAATCAAACACAAAATATCACCCACGGAACAGTGTACTAGGTCTACGGCTATTTTATGGCAGCCTGCCGCCATTGCGCTGTCCGCCATATTAATTACTATAATGGCTAGTGATAATATAACCCCACCAAAAAGATGGCCGACCGTGGCCGTATTCCCGTCCATAGGCGGAGCTGGTCAAACGCGATCCAGCAAACAGACATAGAGATCAGTGGGCATGCTAGACACTGAGCATGCGTCTGCAGATCAGTGACTCAGCATTTTTTGCCCGGGTGATAAGCGATGCAAATGTCTATACTTTTACAGTTATCGCGAACTGATATGACTTCAGCTCGCACAGTGCAATCTTTCCTTTCTTGAAGGGGATATCATTTTCATGTACCACTTACCCAGGGGTCTGATAACGTTGTTGTCTTTAGGCCAACCTAACGGAATTTTATCTGCATCGAGAAGCACATATTCCTGCTCGATGCCGAACCACGGATCTTGGTTGGCAGCCTCCTTCATGGTTTTCTCGCACGACCGACGGGTGTTCGTTTCTAGAAGAAAGAAAAAAGTATAGTTAGGCACTGTGGGCGTCCTGGAATACGTAACTGTCGCAAGTTTACCAAAGACCAACTTATAATATCGCGTGTTGTGATCTGGTCGCAACGCGAGTTTAGCAACGATGGAATGCCACACAGTATTAGAGCTTTCAGCCCGTTCATAAAAACAGCGTGTATCCTCCCCCCCCCCAAAAAAAAAAAAAAAAAGTTTTTATTGTTTTTTTTAATTATAAAAATAAAGTAGACATCGCCAAACGCTCACTAGAGCAACCATGTAGCTAAAATCACCTGTTACTTTTGAATGAAAAAACGATTTGTTCTAAAACTTTGACACCTGTTCCGGACAACTCAACATTAGGTCGGAGGCTGAGCGTTCGGCATCTGTAGTTTACTTTTCCGATAAAAAAAAGAAAACACTGTAAAATATTTTTGGGGGCACCCTCCTGAAAAGACAAGAAAGATAAAGTAACCCCGAGGGTTTGTGGTCCCACTTTTTCTCACTACTCTTAAGCTTACTATTACTTCACGGTGATGTTTTAGTTTCAGGCAATATGCGTTCGCTGTCCCATCAACTGTAGGGCGAAAAAAAACTGCCCTTGAAGTTTTTGTATGAAACCTTCAATTACATGACAAAAACTAACAGAAACCGCTATTTTTTAACGATCAAACTACGTGTCAAATCGCGCAGATCATTCAATGAAAATCAAAGAAAGATTTTGACGTCTCACCATTTACAAGATATATGAAATTTGTGTCTCGTGCAATCACGGAGTGCAGTGCATTGCCCGAATTCGCAAAGTATTAACGTGGCACCGCTACTTTCAGGAAGTGATTCGGGGTTTTAACTGGTTCATTTTTAATTTGATTTTCTGTTTAATTAACGCCATTTGCTGATTTGCTAGCTGTTCATGTTTGACGGACGAGTTCTTAGTTATTATACTAGGCAATATATGCTTAATTAGGGTTTTGTGTTTTTCGGTAAACACCAATAAACCCCAAAAAATAACCTCCAAGTCTATTTCAAAGAAAAATTGAAGAAACCGAAAAGAGCTGCCCTTGAGTAAGAAAGGAGTAATCTACAGAAAAAACAATTTTGTTTACAGTTTGTTTTTTGCATTCTTTCTTTTAATGAAACACATATTTTATTAAACTACCGCAAGGCTTATTCTTGATTCGGAATCACATAGATCTTATCTTGTTTTATTTCCTTATTGGTACAAGGACGTTTTACAAAATATTGTTTCATGCGTTTGTTCCCTGGAATTTGCAGAATCCCATTGCCGTGCCCTATTTTCTTCAACACAGTTCCCGACAAACCCCAATTTCTCGTCGGACACCAATAATTTATACCGAATTAACGCTACATCTGTAAAGAAAAAAATAAAAAAAAAACTGAAAAAAAAATCCCGGAATTTATGAAAAATTTACCCAAAAAAGAACACGGAATTCTGTACTCGCATTCACAGCAAGAACCGTGGTAAAAACAAGTTCGGCTCCTAGCGTAACGTTACTTATTTTCTCTTTCTTGTGCCGCGCTAAGATATATGTAGGTCAGTGGCGTACCAACTTGTTTTTGAGTGAGGGGGCAAACCAGCCCCTCCCCTCCTCCCTCCCTCCCTCCCTCCCCCCCCCCCCCCCCCCCCCCCCCCAGGACCGGAGGGTGGTGCCCTTGGTATCCCTGAGGTGCCGCCGGCCAGTGTTTGCCCTGTCCAGTGACGGCTGTTTCAGAAGGGCAAAACACATGCCCCCACACACACACACTCTTTGCCCCCCCCCCCCCCCCCCGGTTGGTACGCCCATGATGTAGGTGCATCTTAGATTAGCTTTATGTTATGTTACCAAGGCGTACACGTTTCAAAAGCCAAATCCAATGCTTCTTTGACAACCAAATCTTGTAAGAACTACCTCGCGCAGCGCATAAAAAAATGCCCAAAACCACCTTTTCTTTTAAAGTGACGACGAGTATAGCTATACGCTCACGTTGTAGGCGTTCACGGCAGCGCCATTAACGCATACGTTCACGGCGCTACGGGTTGTTTTAACGTGAAACGTTCTTTGAATAGGTGTTGGGCATCATCGTGAAGCCCATATGAAATCGTGGCATCGAGGCTCGGCCATGATTGGTTGACGGGTGGGAGAAGAGGAGTGAGGTGTTCGATGCCGATTGGTTAACGGGGAGGTCATGTGACCATAGGGGTAGGCGAGAAGGAGTGAGGTAAGCGAAGAGGAGCTCGACCACCTGTGCGCACTGAGGAAGGGGAGCTCGAAGAGTATATGGAAAGCTCTGGGAAGATAGCCAGGTTTATCAGCTTGATTAGCAGTAGTACCGCTTCATTCTAGGAACAACTATCAAGTACGCGTTAAACTAACTGATGAAGAGTGACGTGAACGTAGGCTCCTGGCGTCTGTAACCTCTGAGTATCGCTAAACGTTTGTGATGGTAGAACGTTTCACGTATGAAACACAATTTCTTAGCAATTTTACAGATTTTGTTTTTGAAAACCAAGTAATATTAATAAACAATAAAAATGTTTTCGCATCTTTGCCAATTCTGTCGTATTTTAGGACTCTGCCATTTTTTTTATGTATCTTTACTGCCAGCCGTAAGGTCAGGGCAGGAGTGGTACAAATAGCAAACATAAGCAAAAGGTCATAAATACATACACACAAAACACATTGATTAAAAAAGTTTTAATTACATGCATACACAAAACTCTAGTTCTTTTGCGAATGACATGAGATCTTCAGAATTGACAACACATGTGGGTAGCTTGTTCCATTCATCTATAAACCGAACAAAGAAGGGGTACTTAAAACGATCTGTTGAGCACCAATATGGTTGAATATAACGATTATGTTGTGTTCTATGTTGCATAGGTTCGGGAGTTGTTACGCATTTCAAAACATTAATTCTGCATCATCCATTCAAAATCTGAAAAGAAAAACGCTTCATTCTGCTTAAAGCCAACTTGGTTTGAACACTGCATAGTTTTGCTCGGGACCTCAGTGCAGAGACAGAGTCGGTTGATTTGCAACTATTGAATATAAATGGCACTGCTTTGTTTTGTAGTCTTTCTAGAATATGATCATTTCTAGTGGTAAATGGCTCCCATACAGGGCTCTTATAGTCAATGGTTGGTAAAATCAGACATTTAAAAGCCATTCATTTTACTTCTTGACTCGCATGATCTAGCTTTCTTCTGATCATCCAGTTTTTGGAATCCTTTTTTAAATACATGATCAATATGGGAGTTCCAGTTTAGATCGGAGCTAAAAAGCACTCTCAGATATTTATACTCAGTAACTTTATTAAAAAAAGGCCGCTTATGCTATAGTTAAATTCCAGAATTTGTTTTTACGCATTAAATTCATATAGACAGTTTTCTTAATACTCAGTTTCATCTGCCACGCAGTACACCATTTATCTATTTTGCTCAGACGCCTCTTGACCTAAATTTCTTTGTGACCTCGGAGGCGACGAGTAGCTTGCAATGCCTTTTCCGTCCAGTTTGGCCAAGCGGTGGTTTGCTTACCAGGGGGTCTTCGGTCATACAGGAGGGTCTCGCAGAGTACCAGCTTATTTCGACCTTTCAAGAATGGATCTTTGAACAGGGCCACGGGAACCAGAAACATTTCGGACTTGGCGCCGGCGTCCGCCCATTGGTACGTTCCTACCGCGCAGTACGTCCATTCGGGACAGTCTGCCACGATGAAGAAAACGTTAGTGAGTTCACATATTTTCTGGCTATTTTTTTTTCAGCGTCTTCAGAGTGTGAAACACACTCTCAACATGTGCTGTAGCTCTCTTTTTTTGTGGATATTAGACGCCGAGCATTCGCGCACAGCTCAATGACTGAGCATTTTCGGCCTGGATAGTGAGCGTTAAAAAGGTGACTTACAGTTTCCCCCCCCCCCCAAAAAAAAATGAATCGGGTTTTTTGGCCCAGATAGTAACTAAACTGTATATCGCAGGAAGTCTTAACCCCGTGCGAATTCGAAACTAGCGGTTGGGATAGAACGCGAGAGTTTGAGAACACGACGTTGCATGGATAAAAAAATAATTAAGAAAAACGAAATTTATTTATGAGCCGACGTCCACCTAAGCCTAATATCGTCAAAACAAGAAATGATATTGCGAACGCTTGCGAGATTTATATCAGTGAAAAACTCTGGTCAACAAGAAAGTGAATAATGTTTTCTTTCTTGCTGACAAGTTTATTTCACTGCAACAGGTGCTTCTCGATTATCTTTTCTGATCCAGGTAACGTCATGTTCTCAAATTTTCGCGTCCTATACCAACCGCTAGAGTCACATTCTCACGAAGTTTGAGCTTTCTGCAATGCATGGTTTATTTACCCGGTCCGCAAGACAAAGTTCTCTATTTTCGTTAACTTTTCGCACCTTCAAGCGCTTATCGCCCAGGCGAAAAGTGCAGAGTCGACTGGGCTATAGAAAGGTAAGCAACATCTGATATTACGGTGACGAGAGTAACTGTGCGTGCTCAAAACGGGCTACGCGGCAAAGCAGGCAAAGATGGCAGTAGGCCGGAGGCGATTATTGGAAAGGAAAAACATTTTACATGTGCACCAAAAGAGAATATTATCATTAAAAGCGCAAGAATATCGAGAATGAGTATGTAGAAATGGTACGACATTATACTGTAAAACCCTTTATTTTCGCGGCCACTATTTTTCGCGAATCGGTCACAGATGACATAATCGCGACCACTAAATTTCGAGAATTCCAGACGCCTGCATTGAAAATCTTAAGGACCGAAATTTTCGCGCGCCCTTTAATTTCGCGAATTCTTCAATTCGCGAAATTCGCGAAAATAGAGGGCTCGCGAACATTAAAAGTTTTACAGTATACAGGGAAACAAAAAGTATGAGCGAAAACGTATAAGTGCTATAGACAATTAGTCGTCACGTAGATTATGAAAGAAAGAAAAAAAAACGCATGTCTGCTAACAAACCAAATACATTAAAAAAGTCCAAGACGGGGGGAAAAAACAAAACAATGGACAACCACTTACAACGTATCAAACTCCGAAAATACGCGGATTATTCTGGAAACTGCTCTCCTAGTACGCTAAAATTAGCAGTTCCTTTTTTAACTCGTGAAACTCAGAAATCTCAGAAGTGAGGATTTTTTTCTAGGTTTAAGGCGTCGGAATTGGTTCGAACAAATAAATTCCACGACGTTCAAGTTCCCCGCTTGGAGCGTACTTTTCGCGGTCTTGGGTTCGAAGGCCAGCGTTCTCGTCTTGGCCCGGACATTTTCCAAGGTTCCATCCACGAAGACGTAAGTGACAAAGACCACGTCGTCGGGCTGCTCCAGATCCAGGTACTTCCTGAGGATCTCGGGTTTTGCGGAAGCCATCCGTCCACGTTCCTCTTCCTCCGCTGCGAAGGGGGACACAATACGTAACCGCTGAAATCCCAACAAACGTGCACAGACTTGTCTGAGAGTAAACTCTAGAGCGAGTGCAACGTCAATAATGGACAAATGGCGCAACTCGATAAAGGGATTGTGCTCCGGAGAACTCGTTCTTCTTTCATAAAGGAAGGTGTGAATGAATGAAGGATGAACGCCTTGCAATATACCGCGATCACGAGTAATGCGAGCTAAAACAGACCTTAACCTTTTGAGTGCCACGCTCGAGTATACTCTGACGCGTCTTAATTAATTAATTTCATTTATTTATTTACTAATACCACCAGTTCCCTTCGTAACTTTAGTAGAGAGATTGCATAAGTTTGAAGACAATGCGTTAGTTGGTGATGCAGTTTAGAAACAAACACTTGTGCAGATTTCAGCTTCGATTAGCTTCTTGTCGCAACTGGGCTGCCAGTTTTGCTTTTACGTGCAGAGCAATGTTTTGTGTTTTGTGATAAAACCCGTTGACGACATTATGAAAGTTTTCTATGAAGGACTTCTGCCTCGGTTTGCTCCTTCGTTGTGCCAGAAAGGTGAATCTATGACGTTCAACCTCGCTCTTTATTAAAAACACTGAAATATAAAAATCAGTAATAAAAAATTTTGACACAAACAAAAAAAAACTGTTTCGAGGGGGAAAAAAAATAAAAATTGACGGTTAAGGTTACTGAAAAAAAAAGTTACTCGAGGGTGCGAGGTCGGGGAGGCACTTTGCACGCCGTGTCTAGAAAAAGTATAATTTGAGAAAGCTCTATCCGCTCGGCAGGCAGACATCAAATAACTCTCGGCCCATGGATCAGAGTGTCCTCGATACATAAATATACTTCGTAAATCATGCTACAGTTTCTCTGTACGGAATCAAAATTTGAGTTAAGTTCGACATGCAAGAAAAAAAAAACTCTCAGATTTTGAAAGAGCGCTGGTCCTAACTAGTAATGAAATGCGAAGTTGAGCTCCAATATATCTGACTATTTGACAAAGTAAAAGACCGCACACGCAGGAAAGAAGAACCCATCTAGTGTTTCAGCTCATACACTCCGCGAAGGTACAATTCACAGCACTCTTAGGACAAACACTTACGACATGACTTTTTTTTTATTTATTTTACTTCGATACAGTATTAACGGGCACTAACTTTTACCGGCCGTTACTGTACAGCCTAGTCACTTTCCTCCACGCTAGTATACTGTTTATGGCAGCCTTTAAATTAAAAAAAGAAAAAAAAACAAAGAAAGAAAACGTGTGATTGCTTGTTTGGGCTAATGGTGTCGCGCTGTGTGCGGGCTCTTACCATTATTGCTACGATTGCCATATTGCTATTATCAAAAAGCCCCAAAAATAAACCGCTTCTGCGACTGCGAAGTTTGAACCAATTGCCGCCCGATATGAAAACTCGTATAATGATATTCATCGAAGATAATGATGATCGAGCGATACATCGAACGTTGTTAGAGGAAAAAGCGAAATGATAAACATGTAGTGCTCACCCTTGCTATCACTCATTTCATTTTTTCTTTTTTTATTATTATTATCATTACTTTACATTTCCTTAGATTATAGTTATAGCTTCGACTGCTTTGGTGTTTTTCTCCTTGTACTCCGAAGTTCATACAGCTTCGAACTCCGGGGCGTTTCTATTTTTTTTTTTCTTTATCTGTAAGGTGGTTGGTTTCCTAAGGGGTGACATCGTGACTCGTGACCATGATTAATGTTTTTGAAAGCAAGCGAAATTAATTTCGAAGCTATCAGTGCCGCAAACATACCTGAAGAAGCAATGAAGTTCCTGGAAATGCTTCGAGGGTAGCGGTTGTGGCTTCCTAGCTCGATGCACCAAGTCGCCTCTCGCCCTTAGAGTCGATCGGAGTGCCTACGTACATATCTTTATAGAAGCCGGTGTCTACGCGAGGGTAAGAGAACGAGAAATGGGAGACAAACCGGTGCCGTGGGTTCTGTGCACGGCAAGAAGGGAACACTATATAGATATATATATATGGAGAGAGAGATAGATAGAGAGAGAAAACGTAGCGCAGGATGCCAAAACGTATAAACAGCAGAAAAACGTACTTGAGACGCTTGTTTGGAGTCTTATACCATATTGTTCGTGAAGTCGCGAGACGAAATATTGACACACCTTGGCTACATCACGTAGCCCGTGACGTTAGGAGATTATGCCAATTTGAAACACCTGGGCTCCTTGAAGAGCCCCAGGATGGACTCGACGCAGGTATCGCCACGAAAGCCGTTCATTTGGGGCCTGATTCGAAGGATAAGCCTCCGGCGTAAACCTGGCCGGGGAGAAAGAGACACGTACAACAATGGAAAATCCGACTGAACGAAAGCGGAGAAGTAACCACAAGGAGAGCAGGCGCCAAATACTCGGCGAACGACAAAATCGGTATACGAAAAAAACGACAAAAAAAAAATACAATTGAGAAAGCACGCTACGAGTTGCCATTTTCAGTTTAAAATACTGGAACGACTTCCAGATACAATAAAGCTTGGGTAGCCTGTAGCCTATTGAGTGTGCACGCTCACGCAAAAACTCCAAACAATCGTCTGAAGTACGTTTTTCTGCCATTGATATATATATATATCATCGAAAATACGATGATGATTGCATTGCACTTGATCGAATGCATCAAACTCCTACGAAACGCCCGAAATTCAAAATAAATGGCGGCGCCAGGCTCCTGGCTCCGCCGTTTATTTTGGCTTTCGGGGGTTTCGTAACACATGGATTCATTCGACCGGTTCAGTCACCATAATATTTTCAATTATTTCCCCCCTTCAAAGACCGCCGCACAGTGATGAAAAATGCCCGTGATATATATATATGATAAAGACCGGTCCCCGCTCGAAACGTCGTACTAAACTTCGAATTAGTAACTCCGACAATACGCATCTTTGACTTATTAACTTTTCCCGGTCCATTGTTTTTATATTTACCTTACTTCATCTATATACATATATATAACATTTAACGCGCAACCCGGAAATCAATCCAAGAGGAAGGAAGGTGTGGGAGCTGATAATCGCTGTATACAAGGCCATGCACAGCCGGATGAGACCTTGACTGCGCATCAGAGCTTCCTCGTTTGTAATTTTCTTATGCAAATCATATTGGGGGATTTTTTTATTTATATATAAACAGGTTTTCTGCTTAGTGCGTCTTCGTCCGTCTTAGAGCCAGACAGACAGCACACAATGGGGAGGCATTCACTTGATCAAATGGCGTTTTAGCGAACGCCTACGTTTCACCGAATGACACTTTAGCGAATAGTCGGGTGGGCCAAATGGGTTCACATTTTTGTAATGATCCGCCGCGGACTGTCGCCGCAAAGCGGCGTAAAGCGCAGCGCGGCGGATGGGTTAACGCGCGCCCCCGTTATTCGCTAAAACGACCATTCGCTCAAATGTCGCCGTTCGCTAAAATGTCATTCGCTCATGTGATATGGACCCGCACACAATGATATCGGCTGCTCTAGGGTGGTCAGTTGGGCGAGTTCGTACTCGCAAAAGGGTATCATTGCGTTTGTCTAATACTTCTTTAATGCGTAGTGCAGTAGGCGCTAAGTGACGAGGATAGGGTGCTGTCACGTGACGTCAATCCGCCATTTTGTTGTTCTTGAACGTACAGGTCTCTACACACCTGGCTTAATGGGTTCATTTGACGAGAAGTGAAAGGGAAGGAAGGATGATGAGGTGGGGTGACGATAATTAAATGATCCTGACAATCATTGAGACCAAAGGAATGCGTCCAGGATGAATACACTTGCTTTGACTCACTGACCACGCTCGTTCTTGGTTTGGTCCATTCACCCAAAAAAAGTTTTTATTCGGAGTCCGGGTGTTGTCATTTTAAAGGTGTTTATTGAGTGGAAAGATTACGTCGCAACCTCTGGATAGCAAAATGAGCCGTCCCGCGTTAATCCACAATATATGTCACAGCGGGAGCTGCGATACGCCATGGTGAAGTCGTTTGGCGTCGGTGGCGCGTTCACGCATCCTGAGGTGCGTGAACAAAAAGCGTTCGGGACGCAATAGACATCTGACCGTTATGTTCCGATCGCTTTTGTTTCTTTTTTGTGTGTTCTTGAGCGCGTGAAGGTGCATCTCTCGCGGCACGAGCTCTAGACATTGACAGTGCTGCGACGGCATTTTGTCGCCATCGTATAGAAAGCACGTGCAGTGGGTATCGGGTACTATAAAAACCGGAAAGGCTGGTTCACACATTCGCAACAGTTGCGTTCGCACGCCACCAAAACGACCGTAACGAAGAAAGACCTCGCAACAACCCTGACTCATGGATGGCTTCGTGAAGCTACCCCTTGCATCGCTTGCCATGCTGTGTACGGCAAACACTCGTCCCGGTGACTTCGTTGTTCCGGTCGTTCCGATTGCATGCGAATGTAACCAACAAAGATGTGTGAACCAGCCTTAAGGATGTTGTTGTTGCTGAATTATGTTTATTGATGAGATGAGTGGTTCACGCATCCTGAGGAGACAGGAAAGGGGGGGGCATGGGGGTTTAAGGGGGAAAGGGAATGAATGATGGTGAAAAAAAAATTAAATGTTATGATGGGTCCCCGTCTCCCTGATGTAGCTCATCAGGGAATCGAGGATTGCTTTTCTGTGCTGCGGTTTTCCCTGGGGTCGGTACCACTCCTCGAGTAAGGGTGGCGATGTGGGTTAGTTGGTTCATACTGACGAAAAGGCAAACAGCGCACAGTAAACGGGGACTAAAGGAAGTGCAAACAGGACAAGCGCTGACTCTCAACTGAAATTTAATCACATGAAAACAAAACAAAGAAAACAGCAACTCCGCCCACGTCACATAATACATTCACCACGTGTCCCCCCTCCCCTCCCCCCCCCCCCCCCCCCCCCCCCCCCCCAAGAAAAAACAATCTCTTTACTACTCAAGCCCAATGACGTTTGGCTTACGCAGTTCGCGCCTG